TAAACTAATCAAATATGAATTTTTTTTATTCCATCGTTCTCTTCAAACCTTTTGCTTCACTTCACCCCTCCGTAATTTCATGTTTTATAGTTTTTAAGTCTTATAGTTTTTATGTCGTAAAACAAAATATAAGGCTTAAGTCATGTAAAGGAAAAAAGAGTAAGAAGTTTTTCAAGATAAGCATTTAAAGTTCCTTTGAGCAAATAGAAAAAAATTCCTCTTAAGTTCATAAAGATGGCTCTTTTAGCACATTAAACTTGAACTCTGTATTTGTATTTCTGAAGGCTGTGGAGTAGCTCATATATTATTTTTAAGAATTGAGATTCGTGTATTTTTCTCATCGCTAATTTTTATACTTGAATGAATTCCTAAATGTTTTGCAAACATTATCAGAAATATGTATAAAAATTACAATATACAAGTTATCCATGCTGGTCAACAATCAGAATACTTCAACGTTGATTCCGGTGTTAGACAGGGTTTTATACTTTCTCCAACAATCTTTTTAATTCTTATTGACTGGATTATGAAGAGTATTAGAGAATAAAGGGGGTTATAAGATGGAACCTTGCTAAATATCTTTCTCATCTTGATTTTGCAGACTACTTATGTTTACTGACCAACACCCTTCAAGACATGCAAATAAACAGACATTTCAAACACAGAGGTAAAGAAAATAGGGCTTATTATCAACCAAAATAAAACTAAAACTTTGAAATTTAATCCTAAACAATTAAATGATATATTCTTAGAAAATTATAAATTAGAGGAGGTAAGCAGTTTTACGTATCTTGAAAGTATACTTAACAACAATGGAAGAATTGACAAAGAGATACTAATAGTTCAAACAAAACCCGAAGCAATTACGCTATTTTCAATAAATTCTGGAACAAATTTAACAAAACTTAGAATCTTCAATTCTAATGTTAAATCTGTCCTACTCTATAGATCTGAGTCATAGCACTGCAATAAAAATAACATGAAAAAACTTCAAATATTTATTAAAAACTGTTTAAAAAGAATCTTGTGTATTAAGCGGTCCCATAAAATTTGTAATGTAATTTTGTAAAATAAATGAAAGCAAAACAGAAACCGATTGATCTGGAAATTTAAAAACGTAAATAAAAATGGATTGGTCATGTTCTATTTAAACCTGAAGAATTTGAAGTAAAGCAAGTTTTTATTGGAACCCTCAGGGCAATAGAAAAAGAGGAAGATCTAAAAAGAACTTGGTGCAGGACGATTGTAAACGTATTGAAAGCAATCAGAAAGGCATAGAACGAGGCAAAATAGCTAGCCACAAATAGAGTGAAATGAAAAGCCATGATATAAAATCTATGCTTTATTTCGGAGTGAATAGGAATACGTATGTGTATGTATTGGCAACAGAATTAATTACAAATATTGTTTGCTCCAATACATTTTTTTGTAACAACTTTCAAATAATGGGGTTTTTTATAATTTTTGCCATACTGTAATTAAATTTTTATAAATTTTTTGAATTGCAAACAATCTAGCATAAGAATACACTTTAATTTTTATAATTGATTTTATATAGGTATTTACACCTTATTCACAAAATATAAAATAATAATCTAAGTAAAAACTCATAATAAATTGATAAAATTTATTTGTCCTTAATTTGTTAGAAATAATACAGTATTTAAGTTTGCTCCAACCAGTATCTTAAAATATTTCCTAGTGCAATTAGAAATTACAGTTGTAGAGGATTATTGTAAAATAAATAAAATAATTAATTAAAATAAAATTCCCGATAAATAATTTCTTATAAAGTTTAAACTTAATTAAACACCACAAAATACATAGAAAAAATGTAAAGAAGCTAATAAGTACGTCGATTTTGGCTAAATATGAAACAACGTCTTAGAGTGATCTTTTATTGCATTATAACAAATATTTTTAAATTTACAATAATTTATTTTGTAAGCAACATTTGTCAGAAGTATATCACAATAAATATTTTAAAAATCATTTAACTTACCAATATGCATCGTTTTATTCTTATGAATTCTTCCACTAAACGAATACTACGTAAAAAAAGTGTTATGCCATATTGGATCCTGTCAACTTCCAAATATCCGTTTCGAAATTTCCGCGTTACTTTAAACCATCGAGGAAATGAAAATTGCCAAGATGGCTCATGGTATGAAGCTCTCTCTTCCTAATGATGTAATTCAGGTTCGAATTCCGTCGATAACTGACCAATTCGAATGCTGATATTAGCTTGCTCCGCCTACAATGCATGCCTAAAGTGTCCCACGTTTTTGACGGATCATGAGTTAGAATCCCTCAGCCGTCGGGCTAATCGCGGGAGGGTTTCGTCGTAATATTCTCTATATAATGTAAATGTGGGTCAGTTCTATCTGAAAGTTATCCATTAAAGTGAGCTTACCCTAATGCTGATCACGAAGTTCCTTTGTCTTCTGATGTGGGTTCAAAATTACAAGGCTACGGAGTTTAACATAGATAACCACAAATTCAGAATAGGTTAGTTGTTTAACACCGGTTATAAGAATAAAAAAAATAAATAAAAAAGATTAATTGTAACGAATTAACCCTGTAGGCACGAGCGCCGTATTTAATCGGCATTCACACGATTTTATGTTTATTCGTGCGCCGGCAGGGCAGAAGTTTGTCAGCCTTGTTTTAAATTTTATAATACTGAATTAAGTTACTTAGAATTTCTTTAATTATCTTAAAATGCATTTTTATTTAAAATACTTATATTATTTCCAAATATATTGTTACGTTACATTTAAATAAGTTTATCGAAACGCTGGCGTCATTTCAGCGGACTGCCGTAACAAAAAAGTTAACATTTTTGATAATCGCGAGCAGTTACCTGATATGATTTTTATAACACGAGTCCTTACAAATTGATTTTTCTCAAGCACTTTTTATTGCGTGATCACGATTCACATATGAACTTGAAAACATTTATTACTCATGAGGAAGTATTGAAGTTCCGCTTGAGAGAAAATCTTGCCTTGGTCTCGATCTTTATTAATAGAATTATAATGTTCGATTAATGAGCTTCTGATTGGGACCTTGAATTGTTTTGTTTCTAATTCTTCAACATTAGAATACTTGACGTTGCTTAGAATGATATTTCTCTGCAATTTACCTCGTCCCTTTGTAAATTGAAGCAAAGAAATGTTGAAAAATTAGTATAACTATTTTATTATTACTATAGTTTCCTATAATTACTATAATTTCCGGCAGCTATTCTAAATGACGGCAATGATTTATTTTGAGCTTCCATCTCGTTATACATTCTTTTTAAATCTGAACTATATTGTATTTTTAAGCGTCTATGAACAAAAACGCTTATGCAAATAAGTTGACATAATTAAATTATTTGCGGTTTATCACGTGAATTTCAAATTCCTCTCAGTCTATTATTTGGCCCTAATACCGTTTATTTTTTGAATTTTTTGTTCCTATCACTGCATTTTGTCAGCTATAATTACATAAATAATTTAATTTCTCTGTGATCTAAAATTTAAGGCTCCAAAGATCAATATTTTTTTTTGTACATCCTATCGAAATTTATATTCCTAACGTATTTTTTAAAAACTTTTTTAACTGAGTTTTCTAACTTAATAAATGAAATTCTAAAACATTTTAGTTTTTCGATCATTCGTTGTCTGATCGTAACAGTGGACTGATCGCAAAGACACAGTTCTCAGTAGAACACCGAAGTCAAGCATCACTAGCTGCAGTCAGTAAGCGGTAGGATGACCACGTTGATCTGCCTGCGTAGAGACCGAGGGTGTGCGGTATCGGTCCTCGTTAAACTGTTCTACCGTAAAGTGCTCGACTTCACGTGCAGGCGCCCCTTTGCAGAGGATCAAAATTGCGAAAGCATGTCTTCGGATCATCCACAGGGATGTTTCCCAGACCATCGCCAATAGCCCATTGTGCAGCTCTAGTGCTACGTAAATAAAGTACCTACTTCGATCATTCGTTCTATGTTCCTTTTAAATACCAAACAATTTTATAAATTTAAAAAAGGTTCTAGCGCAGCGTTTCACGAAGTAACGATATTTTCGTCAAAAAAAAGTTATCCCGTAGTTTTTAACTCTTTTACTTTTGAACCACGCCGCGAAGTGCGCGTTAAGATTTTATTTTGTAACCGACAGGCATGTTTCCTGAACTGTTATCGATAGCCCATTGTGCAGCTTTAGTTGTACTTACATAATCCAATGTAGGTAAAAGGAATATTAGCCAGTGGCATATTACCACGAATACGCTAATTTGCAATCCAGCGGTCTTTAACAACTCACTCTCTTTTTTGGAGATTTCCCTCTTGTTGTTGGTCACAATTTTATAATACAAGCTTTTATTTATTTTTCTAGCTAAATTTTTTAAAAAAAAGGAAGTATACCGGATTTGAAGAGCGTTTTCTTCTCTCACACAAAGAAACAGTTTGTTACGTAACTCTCCTAGCTTCGAATATCATCTAAGGTTAATTAGTTACCGAGTTGTTAATTACCGAAAGTTGGGATCGAACCTGGGTCATCTTATTGGAAGGCGAGCGCTTTATCCTATGAGATACCGCGGCTCTTAGTAATAATAATTATTCATTATGCTGAAGTGCGTACACTTATAATACACAACTAGAATGGGAAAAAGATCTCCATAACTGTTTCGTTTTCAGGGTAAATATTCGCCTCATATCGAGATCTCCGAAGCTAGGGAAGAGGTTCAATAAGTACTGTATTACGTAACGAGCTTTGCTTTGTTTGAGGAAAGAAGAAACATCAACGCATACTTCAGAACCGAATTTTGTTTTTGTTCTGAGTAACTTTGAGGAAAGTATTTACGTTTTGTTTTCAAGCTCGGTTAACAGTTAACTTAGCTAGATCACAAAATGAAAAATTCACTAGTTGTCTATGCATTAGATATTGTTTAAGAAGTCACATTATTTTGAAGCAATAAAGTGTTAGTCATGCAAAATAAATATTTTATTATTTTAGGTTCAATTCCTTTGGATCCTAAATTTGGATTGTGTATTGCTAGTCGATCTACAAAAGAAAATTTTGAAAATTCTGAAATTTTGAGTATTTTTCAAACTGTAGCTGAAAAAGTAATAAGTCATATGAAAATAAATTAGTTTATTTTTATAAGTGTTTCCAAGTTATTTTTCGTTTTACTTGATAAGGATTATTGTTTACATTTTTTTGTGTGCATATTTTGCTTTGGCTATATTAATACAATATAGCACTATTTTTGAGGATCAATTATATGAAAATCACTCTAAGATAGACATATTATGATTTTAGATGACTTTCATTTCACACTTAACATTGAAATTTCCCACAGGAGGAGTATTAGTCGAGAATATGGAGAAAAAAAAAACATATTTATTAAGAGATCTGCTCTTTGTCAAGGGAAAGATTTTTCGTAACGAAAAAATTAGTTTAAGAAGGAAGCATTAGGAAAACTTTTGAGATCTTAATTTGATCAAAAACATGACGCCATTTAGACACCATGGAATTTTTATTTTCTTAATGAATGTAAACTGCTCAAAACAAAGGATATTGAGGTTGCGGGTTGATTTTGCACCTGGAGACTTAATTGTTCGAATGATTGATACATTATCGACAGACATAGTAGGCTATATGAGATAAAAATGACATTTGTTTGGCAGAAAAAAATGCAAAAACGCCATTGGTGCATATAAGAAAAATAAATTTAAAAAAAAAAGTTTTTAATTGTGGGTATTGTTTCTCTGAACGGTCAGCAACGTCGAACTCCTACAAACCTCGCTACTTAATATTTTCTTTTACCATAAGTAAGGAAGTAACATCAACACTTAGCTATTATCAAAAATAAAAGTTAGAAAATCCCCTGTTCCTCTTAAAATTAATGTTCAGGTGTATTACTTTTTTAAAAAAAAATAATCAAAATTTATATCAGATGATTAAAATTTTATTCACGTGAAAATTAAAAATCATTGATATCAATCATTAAAGTAAAAAAGCGATGATTAAGAATATTATTTGTCAAAAGATTCAAAGTGGTGAAAACAAAAGAAATAACCTTCCAATGTAATAAAATAATTCCAATTTTTTAAAAACAATTTCGTATAGCGTCTTTATAAGTACTAATAACTTATTAATGAATAAAAAATGCTATAATATTTTTTCAAAAATATTTTATAAAATTTTTTATATGACTAGGCATGTAATTGCCTCTCTTATACATTATAATTACTATCCGAATGTATTTGCATAAAAGACTAATTTTCTCTCAAACTATACGAAAATCAGGCTTTTTGAAAACTTCCAACATCTTTTGTTAGGCTTATTGTAGTAAACTTCGTAAATATAACTTAAAAAACCTTTTTTTACTTAATATCTTTAACCTATAATTCAGTTAAGGGAAAAAAAATCTAATTGAAATAATAGAATTTTTTTATATTCTAGTTTAAGTTAAAAGATTTTTATCAAACCATCCAAATTATGTTTAGGTAGTTAAAAAAAAATACGCATGGAAACTTAGTGTAGATATCACTTTATTGCACTATAGCACCGTGCATCTTTATACATATATTTATACTCTGTAGTTTTTCAAATGATTAATACAAAACCTTATTTCATCAATACAAACATAAGCTACCATAAGGTAATTGATTACATGTGAACAGTCGGAATCAAATGACTTACACAACACACTTTTTTTTACAGAGTGAAAAAAAAAAGGAGTTATCTTCAGACACTTAACAATCAACATCTTCCCCTAACGAATAAATGCATAAAGTAATCAGAAACAAACAATTAAAGTTGAAGTTTAAATTATGAACATTTTATGCATAATTACATTACATAATTAGACATGTGATTTATTAACATGTCATTTGAATATAATTTTAACGTGTGAATAATGTTTAGTGCTAAACATTTTTTTTTAAAATCTGCAAATATCGGGCGCACTAAAAATTATCGATAATTTAAAAATCAATTTAAGAAAAATAGAATGTGTGAGAAATGAATGTTTTGCTGCATAGAACTTAGGGAATTGAATTGTCAATAGATGACGTCACTGACTAAAAAAATATTGATTACAAAATGACCACCATTTGAAACAACAATGTGACACAGTCAGAGGGCAAAATTACAAAACATTTGTGAAATATTTTATTTGGAATGGTTTGTAGTCAAGTGGAAAAAATAACTCAATCGATAAATAGGTTTTCTACTCAGCAATCTCAACTGCTGATAAACTTTCAGATTTTGAAAGCTGGCAAAAATAAAATTATAGTTTCCTCAGCAAAATGCAGTAATTTGTTTCATTACTGTAAAAATTTTCCTTAAATAGATTATTTAGAAATATCGGAACATTTTGGGGATATATCCGGCTACATTGAATTGATTATGTATAAAAACGTATAGGTCTTTTTATATAGAACACTATCCATATTATTTATCAGCACATATGGGTATTGACTTCAAATAGCATTCAAAAACAGCAAAATTAGTTTTTTACAATACTTGCTCGCCTCACAGAGGTAAACTTGTTAATTTTTAATTAATTTAAAGTTTTTGTTACAAAATATGTACTGAGTTGGTGTCTCAATTGCTGTATCAGACAAATGTATAAATTATATATGTTAAACTATATACTAGACAAAATAATAAGAAACATAACAGAATATAAATATATACAAAAGGGAATAATGCATAATTTGATAATAGCAAAGTTATATTTATTTTGTCACAATATATATAGAAATTTAATAGTTTTAATTTTCCACATAGCATTTTCATTTATGTTTATTTTAGTCATTAACTATATTGATATCCTGAGGTGAGTGTTTTGATTTTACTAGACACTGATAACACACCAGCGATAAAATATAAATATTTGTCACATTTTTACTTATAAATACAAAAAGTTTTGATTGTTGTATAAGGATAGGTGTTATAGCATAACATTTTGTTGTATAAATGTTTGATTGGTTTATAACATCATTCATGTTTATGAATCTAAATAATAATAAGTATTAAACTAAATAATATATTTTATACATAATTTAAATCCAATATACGTACTTCATACAGGGTTCCCACTCTATAATGAGATTGAAATTCAAGGACTTTCCAGGACTTTTCAAGGACCTCAACAAAATTTTCAAGGACCTTANAAGAAGATCTAAGCATATGCGACAGAAGATGAAGTGGAGTCTCGCCCCGAACGCATTGATTGTCTGCTGTGCTCCGCGCACTTTGCAGACACCAAGACGCTTGGCCCGGTTAGAAACGGTGCCGTTAAAAACCACGTGAGAGAGTTCGGGAACAAAACAGAAAGAACGAGAAAGATCCGTGGGTGTTTTATAAAAAGGGCTGCCGGCAGTATTGGACAAATTCAAGGACCTATCAAGTTTTTCAAGGACCTAAGACGTTTTTCAAGCACTTTCAAGGACCTAAATTTAGCACAAAAAATTTCAAGGACTTTCAAGGACTCTCAAGGACCGTGGGAACCCTGTCATAAGAAGCGATTTTTTTATTCTCAATGAACTAAATAGAATTTTGTGCACAAATGTTGACTTACACAAAATTGTTTACTCACAATTTTGAAAAAAAAATCTTAATTTTTTGAAAAAAAAAAAAAAAAAACTNAAAAAAAAAAAAAAAATTTTTTGCTTGTAGAGACTTTTTTAAGAAAGATTTTTTTTTTAATGAGAAAAATCTACACATAATTTTATTAATATAAGATCCCTGTTTGGTGAAAAAAATTCATAGACTAAGTCTATCTAGGAATTTGTTTTGAATTTTTGATTTAAAGATGGCATTGGCTCTGTTTTTCAAAAGAAAAGTTTTGTAAAAGATTCCTTTTAATGATAAAATATTTTGTGAAAGGCCCATTTTAATAATAAAAAAATTTCTAACAGGTTCTTCAATGGATCCAAATTTCTCCTGGTATTCATGTCTTCATCACTATTTATTCATTATTTGGAATAGGACATAAATAATGGAGGCACAAAAAATAATAATAAACTTTAAAACATTGAAAAAATTGATAGTTATGCTTAAAAATAATTCTGTTAAATGTTCCTTATTCTATATCATTATTAAACAAACGTTGTTTATTGCATGTTGTGCTAAGATGCTATATTAAATTAATATCCAAAGTCTGAAATATCAATGGTTCTGAATTTACAGTCCCATACTAGTACAAATAAATTTCAGAAGAGTATAAAAATAACCTCTTAATATAGTTTCCTGTGAATAAAGAATTAAAATTCCTTTTATAAACCAATAAGTTATATATACTTCACAGCATTGTTTGTAATTTTCATTCAAAATGAATTCCTGACGGAAAAAAAACAAAACAATAAAAGTATGGAGTGAAATTTTAGACATCAAAATATTTAAAATGAAAGACCACAGAAACTGTAGTACCTATACTTAGATATTTTTTCTTAAAAAAAATTAGACTTAGTTCAAAAAATGCCAAGAATTGTATTGAAGCACTGATAAGCCTTAAAAGTTTAACTGCATAATTTTAGGAGGATTTAAAGTGTAAAGATTAGGAATTTCATAGCACCCCACAACTAGAAATCTCATTCTACACTATCAGTTAAAACTGCACAGCTGAAATATAAATGTTCTATTGGTATTTTAGGTATGCATTACATCTGATGGTGCAAACTTTGAACAAATGTAGCAATATTATAAATTGTATTTATTTAGTACAACACCTGTTCAAATGATGTTTCAATGAATCAAGTTTGTATCTTTCAGATTTTTTTGTCACATTCCCGAGCCATATCGGGTTATTAATTACTATGCAAATCTCAATCTTTTGATGCATTCTACCTCTTTTAACCCTTTGACGCAGATGGGACGCCAGTGTCCTTTTTATATATCTTTTTCTAATTACAAGTAAAAATTAATTTTGGTATTTTTTAACGATAAAAAACAGTCTAATAGTAACTAAAAAAATCTGTTAGATTATTAGAATTAAATTTGTACTAAAACATAAAAACAAGTAATTTAACTTTTTTTTTCATTCATAGTTAAAAATTTATCAATGGTGAATTACTGTTTCTTTTAGATCTAAATAACTGCAAATTTGAAAAATTATTGTTTGGAAATGAGCTGTCTTTGGTAGATTTAATCTTTAATGTAGAAATAGACACCCATATTTTTTGTTGTAATTGATAATTATAAATTATTAAAATGCTAATGTTTAACAAAAATTTTGCAAAGGGTTTTTGACACACCCCATTTAATTTTCTTAATAAAAATAACCAAATAAAAAAAAAAAAGACAATTGTCTTTTATTTTCACAGTCTTTTGCTCCAAACTTGAAATTTCATCATAAATAAAATAAGAATGTGAAGCTTGATTTAAAAAACAAACTATAGTCAGTTGTTTTTATAAAACTTAAGGTACATTAGAATGAACTATATTGCTTAAAAGTAAGACAATAACCGAGCTATCATTATGTATACCAGAGTTGGACATCTATTACAGCAATTGATTACAGATAATTACTGCTATATAATCAATTACTTGTAATCATGATTACAGCTAATTGTGATTACAAGTAATCATAATTTCAGGTTACATCAGAATAGGGCAACAATGTAATCAATTAAATTTTTCGATTAGAGTAATCAATTACGTGTAATCATGATTACAAATATTCATAAATTTGGTTACAACTGTAATCGTGATTACATGCAATCAAAATATATTACAATTAATTAAATATACGATTACACTTTATAGTACAGATAGTATATAGTATCGTATAATACATTTCATACGTATTTGCATACAGTGTATGTAGGAATGAATGTAACTAAAATGTATGTACATATGTATTAATCTAATGTACATGTACAGACATTTTAGCTAGACACACATATACATACATTTAGATTGTATAAAATATATTTACGCTTGTATATATCTAACAATTATGTATGTGCAAACAATGGAGACATGTATGTTTATACACAATTAAGGTATGCATTTTATGCAAATATTTGTGTATGTACAATAGATTTACATCTTATGCATGTATGTACCATGTATGAATGTCCCATACATGCATGCACTTACAATTTGTTTATGAACAATATATTTGTGTGCGATTGTACGTAGATAGGGGCGTTCATACATTTTACATATGCACACACATACATTCGACATGCATAGGTTGTACATACGTGCAGACATATATGGAACATAGATATTTCATACAAATTGTACATGTGTACATACATGTTATCCCAAAGTATGTAATATGTACAATGTAATGCCTAATTAATGCATGCACATGAGTACAATACACGTATTTCTGATGTATGTACAGTAAAGCCTCCAGGAAAAACCACCTCTGTGTAGCGACCTCTATTTACGACCAGTTTTGGGAGACACGGAATGTTTTCCATAGACTTTACATTGAAGAAAACTTTTAGGAGATACCATCAAAACCTTTCCCAAGGACCGGCAAATCTTCGCACCAAACATAGGAAAGGTTAAATACGGAAACACGAAAAAATATGGAAATAAAACAAATAAGTAGATTCAAAAATATTTGTGAGGGGCTCATATTTAGAGAGCTCATTTTCACGATCTCTGAAGGATATCTACAAGCCCATGTTACAGTCAGAGTGCACAAAACACAATGCAATCGCTATCAATGATTTAGTTTTAGAGTTGTAAGTTAAACTAGAAAAAAAAAGTAATTTTAGAAAAAAACTAAGCATTTCAAATAAACAAACCTCTCATTTTTAAAAATAAACTAATTTTTTGTGATATAAAACTAAATGCAAACTTAAAAACAAAAGACATAATTGTTTATTTATTTGAAGAGTTTTATTATTCATAATTGGTAAACTTGTTTTTACACATAATTATATCAGTAGGGGCAATTTTTATTGATGTTAATTTTTATTCAAGGATCTGGTTTTCATGATGCCTACAAGCGTGGCATTTCCTCACGAAGAATATGATACTGAGTAAAATTAAAATTGCTGGCGAAAAACCATGTACCTTCGATAATATTTTAAAGTCAATGAAGGTAACCCCTAACAATATGTACAACAACATGTGTAACAATATGTACCATATATGCATGTATACATACATTGTATGTACGTATATATACAATGAATATAATAATTATATTGACAATATATGTATGTACTGTGTGCCCAAAAAAAATTCAAACCAACCGGAATAACTTTTGATTTAATGATCTAATCTTTTTCTAGGATTAAATCTTAATGGTTTGAGGAGGTGACCTCGAATATTGTATTTTGTCATGTAAAATTAAAATGACGTAAAAAATTGTATACCTTACAATTCAAAATTTTTTCGACTATTTTTGAGATATGGCGAAATACGCACAAGTCTAAAGTTTGCATCATTTTCGACCAAACTGCGGCTATCACTTATATCTGGGGGTCGAAAATCAGAATCAGTTGAAAAAAAAAGGCATATTTTTTTAGAGAAAGCACGTTCTTGTGTCTGATTTCTTAAATTAGAATAACATCTGAACTAACATATTCAACGTCACCTCCTCGAATCATTAAGATGGAGTCCTAGAACATGAAGTTCTGATCATTCGTCCACAAGTTATTTAGGATGGTCCTTTTTTTGTGGCGCACTGTGCACATAATGTACCCATAAACAAAGTTCCTACATATTGTATGTAAATAAGTACATATGTACAATATATATGCATGCTATTACCGTACATTTATACAATGTATGTACTTGAATACATACGTACATTATATTCACATATGCTCATACATATAATATCTGTGTATGAATACATACAAAACATTGCAATTTCATATATACTAACATACATGCGTACGTGTATCATATACGCATAGTATTGTTTTATGCATTGTGACATTGTCACTCACTGATCATCTATATTATATAAAACGCTAATGCGTATGTATCAATAAAACAGATGATATTTCTTTTCTCGCGTTGGCAACAGTTTTCATTTTTAATTGATAGGATTCGGCGCGCAAGAGCACGTAGTGAGCATTATATGGCTAATCTATATTATATAAAACGCTATTACGTTTTAATTGATAGGCTTCGGCGCGCAAGAGCACGTAGTGAGCATCATATGTCTAATCGGGTGAATTCTCACCGAATTATCAAAAAAATTCTCACAAAATTATCTTCATTGAAGCCGATGCTTTACATCCGGCGTTCAGTACTATTTCATATTGCTTTACAACACATGGTTTTAGCCCTCTGGTGGGAAAGACTTTAAAACAAAACTTACAACAGTTACTTTTCTCAACAACTGAAATTTAGAATAGTGTGATTAAGAAAAATATGCGAACTGTTTGCAATTTCAAATTAATATTGAAATGCACAGGTTTAGAATTTTCTACAGTGAAAAGTTTTCAGAACTTCAGTGTTAAAAAAAGTATACAAAAGCTAGACATTAAGAACATATCCAATGAGCGAGCATCGGATTGCGAAAGCAGTTTTGGGGGTTGCCGAGGCCCAGCGAGCAGGGGGCGAAGCCTCCTAGTAATTATATATAGTCCCTGCAATCAATTTTGTATTTTTTACACTTTCCCTTTTGAAGTTTTTTTAATACTTTTTTTGCTTTCTTAGTAGTTTTCATGTGAAACCCTTTACTTCTAAATCTTTTTTTATTTCTTCACCATAAATTTTTAAACACTAACTTTTATTTCACCTTCTTACTCCTGTCTTAACTGTAATTTTTAATTTTTTCTAACTGCAACTCATATATAGCATTTTTCTATTTAAATGCATTTGATTTTTGTATTAGCTATAAGTACATGTCACAGGTCCGTTTTTATTCAGACCGTGTCACCTTTTCACCCTTAAGGGTGCTTGGAAGAATTACTTATTGGCCATTTTCATCAAAATGATCTCACAACATCATAGATTATGCTGATCGTGAAATATTCGATTCCTGCATGGTGTCTAGTCGGCCATTTCATCGAAATGATTTAACATTTTCATGTCCGCCATTGCGCTGCAGACGGATGCAATTTTTACAATTCCTGAATGGCTTTGCAGAATGTTTGGGTTGGAATAATTTTTCTGACGAGATCTCCAAGTGCGCCTTTTGTGTTCCCGTGCCAGATCACCTTCACCACCTTTTGTTATTGTACCTTAAAGATGCTCATCAGAACAAAATAAAGATCTTTCTACTCTTCAACTGGATGCTTAATGATGTCATAATTTTTAGATTATTTTTTTCCAACTAAAATGGAAGAAGTATTATGTTTTATGTTCTTTTTTTAGATTTGTATTATGATCCTTTTATTGGGTTATTACGGATCAACTATATTTTTTTAATATACGATCATTGTCTAAGTTAAAAAATATTTTAAGTAGTTTTCTTTTACCCAGCACTGCACTACATGTATATTACAATATAATTATGTACACTGTACGTACAAGCAATGTTTGCGCATACATTGTATATATATAGGAATCACAAATTGTATGTACCTTTGTGGGTACATTATACTATATACATAACGTATTTACATATAGTATTCAATTGTACTTACATGTAATCGTATATTTTATTTACAAGCGATTGCAATAACTTGTTATCATGATTACTCGTAATCCCGATTACAAGTGATCATAAATTTTGATTACTTGTAATCATATTTACCTGTAATCGTTTTTCGGTGTGACTACTTGGAATGGCAATTACTAGGAATCACGAATACAGTTGTAATCAAAGTTATGGAGGATTGTAATGAAGATGACAAGTAATTGATTACTGTAATCGACTATTGCAAACATGATAACAGCTGTAATCAAAGTTGTAAGCCCGATTACAAGTAATTGATTACGATAATCAAAAAATGTAATCGATTACATTTTTGCCCAACTCTAATATACACTGGCAAAAAGATTTTCATCAAGCATGATGTCAGATATATTTTCTCTAAGTTCTCAAAGAAGCACAATTCCCCCAGCACATTTGAATGAAGAATATTAATAAGTGCTTACTAAATTTCAGAATTTCTTATTAAAAAAATTCATCACACTCAACTCTATTTAAAAAATTTTTAGAGCAATGAAACTTCCAGATTAAATATCTATGAAAAACCATGTTACAAGTGCAAGTAATATTGGCACAACCATTTTTAATGGGAGACTTTGCATCTGCTTAAATCAAAACAGAGTACACAGTACACAAAAACATTATAAACATTCATACATAGTTACATGATATCACACAAACAGGCTTTTCACCAATAAATCATCTAATGTAATCTTAAGTGTAAAAAATTATTTCAGGAATCTGTCCATCTTCAACAGAAGTACCATTGTTGTTCCCTGCAGCATACGTATATAAAAATGTAACCTTTCCTCCACTTGGACAATCTAAAGTAATTTTTCGTAAGCCCTTGGTTCCATAGTGTGAATCAGGACCCTAAAAATTAAAAAAAGAAAGCATTTCAGTTCTTTTACAGTTCATAAATAAAAACTGCAACACTTTTTATGCCTTACAGAATTATTCAAGCTTCTTTGAAATCTGGAATATTTCATTTGTAAAATATGTTAATTGAAATAATAATTCATAGAAAAATTATAATTGAAAGCCACATTTATATAATGGATAGTTTTTTTCATCTTTATATGTTATTTGAATCTCTAAGGATTTTTTTTTTAATTTAAAAGAGTTAAGAAATAAACTTTTTCACAATCAGCATTGTAAGAAAAATAAAATTTTACATTGAATAAGCATTAAAAATTATTACAGCAGGTTATACCTGTGTGAATGATATTTTTAAAATTTTATTTTAAACTTTGATTTTACCTGCAATTAACCACAGAAAATACTCTGATTATGAGCCAGTGAATGCACAGATAATAATTTAGTAGAACAGGAGAGTGATCAGATCAGGAGATAATTAAGATTTCAGATCAGGAGAGTGAATTTGCATATATGAACTGGGAGGACGATTTTTAAAACAGAGCAAGATCACATGTTAAAGATGTAAAATATAATTGCAGTAGAGTCTTGATAATTCAAGGTAAACAGAAACGAGCCAACCTCGGACTTTTGAAAACTTAAATAGCTGGAAACAAATCAATTTTGAAATTTAATAAAATCCAATTGAAAAATATATTATATTAAATGAAAATTTACATACAACATTACAGGAATAAGGTAGATTTACTGCATTATACCAAGTTACAATATTCATCAGATTACTGAATCAGGTTAATTGTATTTTATTTAAACACACTGTTCAGACACTTCAGTATTTAAAACACAGTTTCGTTTTTCAACATTCAGTCATAGTAATCGTCATAAAATCAATTGTAGTAACAGAGTTCTCCCAAGGAATAAAAAAGGGCAGGGTACTTCCTCACAGAAAAGGGCACTTTTGAGTTTTAAAAACTCAAAAGGGCACTCACTTACCACCGTTAAAATTTACCAAAATGTATAATGATATTTTGTAGTAACAGTATTTGATCCTCAATTTTTAAACTACCCACTTGTATTAATTTATGTGTATATTTACCTAAGTAATTCTCCCACAGTATCAAAATAACAGAAAAATTTGAAGCTTTTGAAAAATAATTAAAGGCAAGCTAAAAGACAAACTCTGTGTATAAACTTTCTTCTTCTTCAAAATAAATAAAAAATTATGAGAAAATAAACATTTAAAAGTGCTTTTTTTAATTGAAAGGTTTTTTAAATGCCTTTCTTAAAAGAAGGAAAAAAAATCACCATAAAACTTAGTATACCCTCCCCCCAAATAAAAGATGTGAATATTTTTGGGGTTGAATATCATGCAAAATTTAACTATATAATTAGACAACATAAGAAAAATCTTATTAAAATGAAGGAAAGAAATTAAAAATTAAAGTTAAATAATTCTCAATAACTAAATAAGTCTGAAATGGACTTTTCATAAAAATGGATGGTTAAAAAAACCTTTTCATAAAAAAAAGGTAGTGTTCTTAAGGGGTGGAAGCGTATTCTTACAAAAACAGCAAGGAGAAAGATCAATAGGGATCAAACAGCAGACAAGGTGGGCTGCCCTTATAAAACTGCTTAGGGAGAACACTGGTAGTAATTGTTCCCTTGTTATGAGTGTGTTGGTCATTATCTGGGAATCGAATTTACAGGAAATTCAAACCATCTGGATTCGAACTATCAAAACTTTACTGCAACTATTTTTGTTTTCAAATCAAATGTTGTATATCAGATCGCTTTGATGACTAAATACTACCTTGCTTAAATTAAAATTATTATTGTCACATTTTAATGGGTTTATCTATGAAAGCACATTAATCTGTACAGTCTGGTTCTAACAATTAAAACTGATCTGTTTCAAATGCATTAGTGCAGGTCGTTGGGCTACTGAAGTGGGGATTATGATGGCAAGTCTTCGGATCATCCTCAGGGATGTTCCCCATACCGTCACCAATAGCGCATTGTGCGACGTAAATGAACTACAATCAAATGCATTTTGCCGTGTTTAGTAAGTAAGATTAACGATAAGTGAAATGATCGATATGCCACAAAATTCTATATGACGCAAAATCCAACATTTCAAAGTTTGTGAACTAAAGATTTTTACTAGTAACCAGTGTTTTCACAACAGCGCGAGAATCTCGCCTATTTTTTTCTTTTCTCGCAATAAAAAACGATCAACGCGAAAACTTCGCGCACTCTATTAATCAATTTCAAAATGCACGAATTTTGGAAACAAATTAGTCTTTTGCCATTTTTAATAAAATCCGTTTTACTTTTCTTCCTTGATCTTTCATTATTTAGAACATCGGTCCTTGTTATTTAGCTTCTCTATTTATCAGTATTGTTCAGAACCGGTGCGAACAGCCACCCCCCGAACCCCTTTCAGAACACATTTCTCTGCAACCACGTGTTCATTGTAGGTAAGGTTTCTTCACGTAAGACGGTTAAATTTTTTTTGCATGAATGTAAGATGGACAAATACCTTGTTAAGGCGACATCTTCTACTCCGTAACGGACAAATGAAAATGAAACAAATGTCGGTAGAAACAGTCAAAACGAAACAAATACGGATATTTTTCAGCCAAATAAATATAATAGCTGATGAAAAAGTATAAATAGAACATTTTCCACATGATGATGCAGCAAAAATATTAAATTGGAAGATGTGAAAAATGTATTATAATTAAAGAAAAATTTTTTTCCAAGTCTATTCGTGTTTTTTTTAAAATTTTTAGAAATGTCACTTAACTTTTTGAAATCTCACCTTGTTTTTGAGAAAGGGTGAGAAATTCTCTCCCATTTTTTTTCTGTAATGAATACACTGCCAGTAACAAATTAAAAGATTTGTTTCAGTGATTATCTTATCAAGAGTGATAATCTAAACTTACTTTTAAAGTGGCACATGCAGTATAATTATTACTAGGTATAATTTCTACTGGAGTTTTAAACATCACTCGGAATGTAGAGGCAGATCCATCACAGCTAAAGCTTGTATCATTAGAACCTAACAATTTTCCAGTACCTGTATGAATAATCTAAAAAAATAAAAATAAAATCAATAAATAAAATAATTTTATAAAGATCAGAAGGAATGAAGACCGTACCACAAAAAGAGTTTTCAAGAACAAACCAGTTGGCACATGAAAAAGAGGCAGGCCGAATTTGAGATGGATAGATGGCCTAGAAAAAGACCTTTTGGACTTAAAAACTGGAAAATGGTTAGCCTGGAAAAAACTTCTTAAGAAGGTCAAAGCCCTGGGCTGTCGAGCCAGTGATGATGATGATGAATTTTATAAAGATTAACTTATATGAATGTAAGACAGTGAGATAGACAATGTTAAGTTGTATATATGGTATACATTCATCTGCTCTGTACACTGCAACTGGTTTATGACTCCAGTTAAAAAGTAATTGAAACTTCCTTTAGATACTTCTTTTCAATAACAAGTGTTTATATTTAGTAAAGTCGACTGATATTGATACTTTTGTTTGGTAATAACAAAAAAATAACTAAGACTTTAAAGTAATGCAAAATAACTAGGTTCGCTATTTTGTAACAAATCATTCAATTCAATAAATTATTTCGATATTTTTTTAAAATGTCAAGGTAGTTTGGGGTCATTTACCCCAATTGAAAGATATGTTAAATAAAAGTTTGTCATGAAGATAAGAAGTCTCAAATCTTAGCAATGATAAATAACACGTTTGAACCTAGACAGAAGTCCCAAATTTATATTATGTTTTTTATAAGACAAATAGAAAAACAATAAGCTTTATTTTAATATTTTGTAACTAATAGAGTTATTGAAGGAAGGGGTAATTAGAATTACTGACAGTTATGTTAAATAATATGTTCTCATGAATTTGGTACAGCACAGCGAATTCAGACTTTTGTCGCAGTAAATGGCAAAGATGGGAATTCATGCAGGAGCATGGCTAAGTGCAATCTTGAAGCAGTGAGTTTGTTTGAGTTGACTCATTCATAATAATTTGGTACAGCATTTTTTCATTTTTTATAAAAAATTTATAGTTATATAAATATATGTGTCTCAACACAAAATTTTTTTTGGGCTTCCATGAAAATTGTTAAAGAAAAAAAAATTCTGCATATTCTTTTCACTTTTACACTTAGCTATATGCAAAAATAATAAGTAATTTTAAAGCAAAAGCTTTTACTAACCTGTATATTTACTGTATAATCTGCTGGTCCATGGATAGATCCATACAGTCCAAATCCAACAACATATATTTTTCGATCAACCATAAATCTAAATAAAAATTTTTTTTCCTTATAAGTAACACATATTTTTTACACATAAAGAGTAAGATATTTTGTTGAAAAAACAATAAACCATTATAAATATTCATTATTCATCATAATCATTCATTATATTATCATATGAGAAGAAAAAAAGACAAGTAAATGTTGAAATCTAATGCTGTAAACTGTTTTAACTAAATTATTAAATAGTTATCTATTTAGAATAAGGAATTACAATAATAAAATTAACTTCAGTTGAATTGTTAATTTAAACTTAATAAATCATGATTAAAAATCAAATTAACCATGTAAAGATACAATAAACTTTTAAATGCTAAGCCAGTTTTGCAATACAACATTTTCCTCCCATATAACATTCTAAAACTTAAATTTTTTTCTTCTAATGGTAAACCATTTTAAGGCATATCTGGGGTCATTTTAGTAGAAGTTTGTCTTTTAACCCCCTTTCACAAATTATAAAAAAAATTCACTTTTTTTTACAAATTATTTTATAGTAAAAACAGATTTTTCAGAAAATATTTTAGTTCTCCAAACGTCGTTGAACAGCCGACCAAATTGTATGTGTTTACGACTACTAATGTTCAACTCCGTAGCCTTGTAATTTTGAACCCAATCCAGAAGACAAGGGAACTCCTGGATCGAGTATTGGGAGAAGTTTGCCCTCGTGGAGGACTTTTTGATGGAACTAACCCGCATTTGAGTTACATGGAGAGGAAGACCACGAGAACCTCCCACAGTAAGCCTGAAGAGAAGGGGACTCAAACCTATGATACGTCTACCACTGAGGATATTTCACGTCAGCACTGTGGTTGGTGCAAGCCAGATGGGGAATTCGTATTGACTGAGATTCGAACTTGGTTGGCCTCATTGGAAGGTGAACGCTCTATCCCCTGAGCCATTGCGGCTCTTATAAGATTATTTGTCATTTAGAGAGTATGGTGTTCACAAGCAAGCCTAATTAATAATAATTAACAAGGCCAACTTGCAGCTTGACAATAGCAACTGAGCCAGTCAGACTTAGATAAAATGAAGACTTGTAACTAGTTTCCACCTTTTCGTCACCCCCTCAGTTTTGAAAAATTTGTTTGCAACTCAAAGATTTTTTTAAAAATGTTTTAATTCTCATAAAACTCTATATTGATCCATACCAAAGGGATAAATTTGGTAAAAAACCTAAAAAGCTGAAAATAGAAATCCAAAAATACTATATGCAAAAACAACTCTTAAATAATTGAAAAAATACCTGAAATTTGAGCAAGAAAAAATTGTATGTAGGAAGCATTTATCAACAGAATGTTATAAACGCTTTAATATAAATATCGATGCAAGATTTATTTATTTGAATTGTGTGAATATGAATCTCAATATGTGATTTAAGTCCCGCCAATACGAATCCAGAGGTTTGATTTTAGATATTTGATATAAAATCATGAAAATATGAAACACTATGTTCAATCGAGATTTGGGATTTTAAAACATGTAGACACTAATCACTATTTTAATCATGTGAATGTAAATTTAAATTGAGTTGGCATAGGGGAGAAAAAGCATTAAAAAGAATTTTTTTCCCCTATGAAATTGAAAAAGATGAACTCTCTTTGAAAGGGCAGATTTTCTCTATTAAATTAGAAAAAACTGATATAAGCGTCTTAAGTCAAACATAATCGCCTAAAAAATGAGGCTATAAGAAGCAGAAAAAAAAATTCTTTTCAATCTTTCCCAGACTAACATGCATGTTAGAATCCTTCCCTTTTTTTGAGTAATACTAAAATTTTTTTTTTTGTGAATGACGTTCACATACATTAAATATATCTGCTGGTCAGCCACTGGTTATAATGATAGCTTGCTAGCAGATAAGACAGATTTGTAACCCTTATTTCGTTACTGAAAATACATCTTTAAAAATATTTTGCAAGCAATTTTAATTTTAATACAAAATATTTAAGTACCTTATTCTATCACTTGTTCCACTGTAGCCCCAACGGCTTTCAGATTGTTGGAAACGACAAACAGTCTGTTCTTTACCAGTAATGCAACAGCGGGGCACATCTGGAAAATTTATCGGTGGTTTTGGGTTAACAGTAAAGTAAAGAAATAATGAAACAATTTCCTTATCAGTCAAAATATTGGCTTGTGCGGGTCCGACTGCAAATTCTTCAACGGTCATTATAGGAAATCTTATTAAATGTAGAGCCCGTCCCAAAAGTAAGCGTAGATTTTCTGCATTTACAGTCAAATTTTGACGAATACTTTCTTGTTCTGCCCATCTGTAAAATAAAGGAAATAAAAACACTAAACAAACTTATAACAAAAAACTAAATTTAATAAAAATTTTAAAAAGATTTTATGAATATTACATGCATGACTGTGATTAACTATTTTTAATAATTTCAAAACTTGCCGAAAATGAGATTCCTCATCAATGTATTAATTGGTCATTTATCAGATTCAGATGAGTTTTTAATTCAATTAAATTTAATAAAATTAAACAAATAATAAAAAAAAGAAATTTATGTAAAACTTTAATTTATAAGCTTTTCTTAATATTTTAAAAACTATGCTATCATTTAGCACAGTGATTTTCGTCTGGTACCCACTTACAAATTAAACATAATGTTTTATGAATGATTAATTTTACACTTAGTTAAATGTTTGTACACTTGTAATAAAAGAATAATTAATCACGAAATCTGTAGAAAATTACCGAAATACAAAATCACGTGAATCTGACTCCTCAAATGCGTGCTGCGTTTCGAAATTAGGTTGATGTAACAAATAATATTGTATAAAGAATATCGGATTTAAAAACTATGGAGAAATCAATAGCAATAATTGTCAAAAATTTGATAGAATTATTGCCTTAAAAAGTAAATACTCAAATGCATGATTCAAATTATCCATATTGTTTGACATATATTGGGATATTTAAAAGACACCTGAAAATCAGGATTAATAACTGCCAAAAATACAATCAAAACATTACAATGATTTACGATACTATAGGAGTAAATTGAGCGTGTCAAAAAGTGATTATCTAAATGCAAGATTCAAATATGTGTAAATTTCTGCAGAAAAGAAAAGTAATTTTTTAAAGAAAAATCTCTCTGCAAGAACTCTGTAACGTCCTGCGACAATGTCGTCGTGATTCTGCCACGGGGGCAATTAAGTCATAGAAATCTGCCCCCGAATTGAAAACAGGGTTGCACTTATTTAAAAAAAATATAAATAAATAAAAATATTATGTGGAAAATATTACCTTACAACAGCATTAAAAAGTTTAGCTTCTCTAATTCTCAAGGTATCTCTTTCTAAAACTACACATAAGGTTTCGTGATCAATGTCTGTAAAACCTTCAGCACCTAGTGCTTCCGAGGTATACTTATCTATAGTTTCTAGGCAAAGGGCTGCTAGTTGAGGTTCATCAAACAATCGAGCTTGAGTCAAGAGCATAAAGGCATTATCACTGCTCAGATTGGATTTTAAAAAATCAACACAAGCTTTTTCAAGAGCAGGCACAGCATATTTTTTAGCTGTATACAAAGTCATCATCACAGTCTCTGGACCTATCTGGACTTCATCAGAGTATAAAAATCTAAGCAGAGCGAGAAAAGCGGCAGGTTCAACATCAGGAAGCTCAATCTCATCAGAAGTGGTGGCCATTGCACCATTAAACATAGCATCAAACACGGCACTACCAACTGATAATATAAATTTATGAGCAGGTATTCTCTGTTGCTGTGCGCCTTTGCCAACAATGAAATGAACATCACTAAGTATTTCTTTATTGAAAATAAAAGCCAATCTATCTTTAACTGTGAGGCGGGATGCCTGCCAGTTGAACATAATTTGACCAGAATAATTAACAACATTGTTACCACCCGCTGCAGACTGTGCAGCATTATTAGATGCGTCATCTGGCAAGCGGCGACCATTAGAGCCTTCTCTATCACGTTGGTTTCCGGGTATGTTTACAGGAAGTTCTTGCATGTCTGAAGGACTCATCATATGCGATCCATTGCTTGGCAAAATTTTAGTAATACCAGATGACATGTTGGCAATATCTATAAAAATACCCATTTAATAAGTTTATTTATACAATATATAAAGAGTAACATTAAGATATAGTGAGAAAATATATACTAGGGTACAAAATAACAGGGAAAGGTTGACAAAACACATTTTAGAAAACACACTTACTACACTTTTTAATATTAAAAAGTAAGTAAAAGAATAAGGTAATGTTTCAGATTTATAGCTGATTATTTTTAAGACTATTATTGGAGGGCTACCAGTATAAGAAATAATGCTCTTTATAAATATATGCTATCTTCTTCTTAAAAAAAAACTTTGAGCTCTTAACGATTCAGCATAAACGCGCAAAATGGATTAATAAAGCCTCCGTGAGTTCATTGCTTCTCAATATCAAACAGAAACATAGGTTCTCCTGAATAAAATTGCCAGTTTGAAGATCTTCCAAAGTCCATGTGGCATAGACTGACTGCAACATGCATGCCATTACTTTTCCTTCAATATCTGATTTAATGTCTGCTCCCGATATCAGAGAGGAAGATAAGCAAAAAATATTGGTGGATATACCCACAACTAATTAAGAGTTTCAAAGTAGAAAAACTCTCAAACATTTGCCAACCTAAACCATAAAGGGAATTTTCAAACAAAAGGAAGAGTTGAGAGGAATATAATTATAATTGTATCGAAAAATAAAAAACGTGTAAAGATTACACATTTTTTCCAAGTAGTAGTCGTAAGCGTCAATTTTTAAAAAATACACTAATAATTTTTTTTAATCTCAATTTTATGTTATTTTGCTTTGTGCATTTTTAACGCTAGTCCAATGGAAGACGTAAAATCAGATTTCCACTTTATTATAAAATTAGATCAGAAATGTTTACAATTTTCTCAAAATTGTCCCTTTCGACATGGTCCATCATTTCATAATTCGCATAAAGGACGATGATAAAGATAAGAGAAACTGCACAAGTGCAAACTAGCTAAACAGCATGATATTAATTAAAACACATGTAACAACAGAAACAGAAAAATTATTACAGGGTGTGTAGCCAAATATTTCAAAAAACATCTTTTAAGCACTGCATGAATTAATTAAAACACATGTAACAGCATGATAATGAAACAGCATGATATTAATGAAAACACATGTAACAGAAACAGAAAAATTATAACAGGGTGTGTAGCCAAATATTTCAAAAAGCATCTTTTAAGCAGTCAAAAAAATCATGGTTAGGATATGTGCACGAATAAATTTTTTCTCTCTTGCAGTTGAAAGTTCTCCATACACATAACATTGAAAAAAAGCAAAACATTTTCAAAGACTTTACATAATCATAATAAAATAACTAGTTTCTGACAAAGAAACATATTAGCCATCATAATGCATAGCATAGATTCACTTTTCAGCAGTTTATTTATGCTTTAAATTAATATTTACTTTATTAAATCATGTAAAAAAATTAACTTTAATTCAAATTATTTATTTATTGTATTTTTTAGATTTAAATAAAAGTTGTTAATAAATTTATACTTAACAAAAAATTTATAAGAATAATAATGATTATACAGAATTGATAAAGATGTGTAGAGAATAAAGCAAACTAAGAAAAGCTCAAACTCATGTTAAAAATGTAAATTAGTGTACGGCTTCATACTAAATTTTCTTTAAAATTTGTATTTTGATTTAGTATTTCTTTAATGAAATGATTAAAAAAAATTCATTAATTTCAAATGTAAATAAGAAGCTAAACATTTTTGTTAGAAGTAAATTATCACACGGTCCCTATATTCATCATATTTAACAAATCTGAGATAATTAAATTTTTAATTTAAATTGTTTTTCCATCAAACGATAAAGGTGTGAAAGTTTCTTGAAATCAATGTTATGCTGAAATTGATTCCAGTTGAATGAATTATGAGAATGTTGAACTGAACAATGAAAACAAAGTCGCTTGTGTAATTATTCATGGTGACAATCAACATTGCAGATAAATTAATTTCATTTTGGAAAAGAGAAAATTAAGCATTTTTACAAACACTCAATGCAAAAAGCATTTTATAAGAACACTACACATACTGTCTAATTATTAAAGCCTTGCTGCAAATTTAAAACTGCATTTTTTAAAAAAAAATTGTTAATTCAAAAAAATTTGAAAAACAACCTTAAACATAGTAAATTATGATTTCAAAATGTTATTGAACACTTTTTCTAGCATTAAGATTTTATACATAAAAGTGTTATTCATGCACACAATAAAAAAATAAAATAAACACCAGGTATAAGTAAAGAATTACTCAGACTAATTTTAGACCTTTAAATACAGATTTAAAACACTATAATTTTGAAATGAAAATTAGTTTTATATATAATAATTCACATTTGATTGCTAATTATGCAACACTACAAGGTAAATGCACCCTAAGCTTAAAAATTTATAAGCTTGGGGCAGTAAATGTATAAAATGATATGTTTTTAATTTCTTCTAAAGGAAAATTTTTTATTTTAAACAGTTTCCAAATGATGTTTGAAAAGGTAAATAATTGGTTTAGAATTTCTACTCAGAGAGAACATAAAGACTTTTTCATATCAGTACACGTTCAGTCAATTTAAACTACCTAAATCTTGTGCTTAAAAATAAATTCAAAAAGTAAATAATATATAGTGATTTGTTCAATTCCGGGATAGATTTTTGCTCTTTGAATAGGAATGCTAGTTCGTGTCTAAAACAAAGTCGTCGCTTATTGTAATTCACAGTGACAACCAACATAGCAAAGAAATTAATTTCATTTTGGAAAAGAGAAAATTAAGCATTTTTACAAACACTCAATGCAAAAAGCATCTTCAAGCATTTTGAATACTACACTTCCTGTCTAATTATTAAAGGCTTGCTGCAAATTTAAAACTGAATTTTTAAATTTTTTTTTTTTAAAACTAAAACTTTGAAAAACAATCTTAAACATAGTAAATTGTGATTCCAAAATGCTATCTAACATTAAGATTTCATACAGAAAAGTATTAAATATTATTCATGCACACAATAAAAAAATAAAATAAACATTATAAGTAACGAATTATTCAAACTAATATTAGACCATTAAATACAGATTTATAACGCTATAATTTTGAAATGAAAATTAAGCTTTGTTCATAATTTACAGTTGATTGCTAATTATGCAATGCTACAAGGTAAATGCACCCTAAGCTTAAAAATTTTTAAGCTTGGGGTAGTAAATGTATAAAAATGATACGTTTAATTTCTTCTAAAGGCAAAATTTTTATATCAAACAGTTTCCAAATGATGTTTGAAAAGGTAAATAATAAGTTTAGAATTTCTACTCAGAGAGAACATAAAAACTTTTTCATATCAGCCAATTTAAGCTACCTACTTCTTGTGCTTAAAAATAAATCCAAAAAGTAAATAATATATAGTGATTTGTTCAATTCCGGGATAGATTTTTGCTCTTTGCATAGGAATGCTGGTTTGTGTCTAAAACTTAGTTAACCAATCTGTTTAACTTTGCAAAACACAAAAATATCTCAGTACCTACACCGAAAAGTGGTGCTTTTCACCAAAGAGATCTTACGCAAATACCAATATAGAAATATCTCAAAGTTTGACTCTGTATGACTACATTTATTATTGAAGTTATTAGTTATATCGAATGATGTAGTTAAACAAAATTTTCTCAGAAAATTAGAAAAACAAGTATAGTTTCAAATGGTATGGTAAGTTATAAATCAAACTTTTAAAAGCATATTTAAACACTATTTTTTAAATACTGTTACAGCACGAGAATACCAAAAAACAGGTATATTATAGTTTATCAAAACAGCATAATATCAAAATAAATTCTATTTAACAACTAATTTTGGCCTATAGAAGTAACCAGTACCAAAGTTTGTAAACAAACAAAATATGCAAACCATAAAACAGTCAAGAACTAGAGGATTAAGTGCAGAGAATTAGTAAAGTAATCAAAATTTAATTAACTTATAGATTATATCCTTAAATTAGTGATAATTTTATTGCTAAAATTATTTTGGTTTGAATAACAAACAAGATAAAACATGAAATACCATAAAAATTATGTTTCCAAAGAATACAAAATATCAAATTATATCAGCTATTATTACGTCTTTAGAACGTATTTATCCATAATTCAATTTAAGTAAATATATAAAACGAAACAGGAACTTCACCTTTTTATTTTTAAAATATGTTTGATATCAACGATGAAATTTTTAATTCATAAAATATTGCAACAACGAAAAGCATAAAGCTTGCATTTAAAATGCTGAAACTAAAGAAAATTTATTTAAAAACATTATTTTAAAATAAATTAAGTTTGTTTTACGAAAAAGACGTCGCTTTAGAAAACTTCGAAAATTATGTTGCCAGCTGTAGAACATATGTATATGAATTTTAAGGATCATTCTCACTAAATGTAATTCGCATGTGCATGCATGAGATGTTCATCTTAGGGTCTGCTTTTACTAAAAGCTATTCAAGTCCATTCGAGAAGACAAAATTAGAATCTGGTTGGCGAGTCTTTCGCTGGAGAATATATTTCACCAATCAGATTCACGAAGGCGATAGAAGATGCCTGAATCTGAGCATTGCTCTTTACTAGTTGTTTCTACACTTAACCACGCACGTGATAGAAAATCCAATACAAGGTACTTTCGATTAAGTGACTTGTGACCCATAAGAAATACCTTCGAAAACTGCAAGCAAGATAAACTGTTCGCACATGAATGAATCACATTTACAGGCGATCGCATAATCGAATTGGCGTTAGTGATAGTGGTTCTATAAAGAACATTGTTGTTGTGGTTTATTTACGTCGCACTATAGCTGCACAATGAACTATTGGCGTCGGTCTGGGAAACATCCCTTCTGAGGATGATCCGAAGACATGCCATCACAATTTTGATCCTCTGCAGAAGGGATGGCACCTCCGCTTCTGTAGCCCGACGACCTGCGCGAATAAAGTACATTGTACACATCTCTTTTGCAGAAGCTCGGAAATTCGTAATTCGCATGCCGTGAGCACGGTTTCTAAGGAACCATTATCATTTCTAAAGATTCAAACAATACTCATAGGCGTGAGTTCTTGATTGGAGAGTTTTTTGAAGGAGACCACGGAAGTGCGTAAGAAGCATGTAGTAAGAATTGTAACAGCTCATGCGTTTTTCAGATTCATTTATTTTTTAGAAGTATCTGCAAATGGGTGTAATTTGTGGTATTAAAGATTGCATATATGTGTTCGTTGCACATCCATTTCATCCAACTGTGAACTGATCATTAGGACAAGAGAAGAGAGAAGTAGAGCATCACTGGCAGCAGTCAATGAGAGCGTGGATGATAACTTTGTTCAGCATGAGGAGGATGCCAGGTCTTTGTTGAACTGTTCAACTGTAAAGAGATCAACTTTGTGTGCAGTGGAGAAACAACCAAAGAGTGGATCCCTTGCACAGAGGATAAAAATTGCGAAAGCATGTCTTCAAATCTTCTTCAGACATGTTTACCCGACCGCTGACAATAGCCCGTTGTACAGCTCTAGTGTGACGTAAATAAAGTATGTAAGTACAGTATGAAAATAAAATACATCGCACACGATTCGTGTATGCGACCACATGCGTTGAGATTGATCCTTTGCTCATATGTGAGCTAATTTCCTTTGAAATAGACTACTAATCAACTTTCATTTTGTGACATACCTTTACTGCTAAAACCTGCTTTTAAAGCTAAAACCTAAATATTTGCCTTATCGTTTCTCTGATTATTTTCAAAAACTAGCTCTAAAGAGGACGAAGAAAATTCTTCCTTACTCAAACATCGCAAAGCAGAGATCGTTACATAATATAACTGGTTGAAATTCTTTGCTTGCTTTGCAAAGCATTGGTCATTATTATTTATCGTCAGATCACTTCATTACGAGGCAACTACTTAAATTAGGCACGAAACAGTTAAGAGGTTTCACCCTGTTTCAGTTATCATAGTATTTTTGTAACTATATATGGATCAATCCATGCATATTCATTACACAAATCAAGTCGTCATTTCTGTCCATTTTTAGGGGTGGGGAGCCTGATTAGTGCTATTGGCGATCGAAATGGGCTGCAGGTGGCGTAGAGCAGAACTCTTTTCCTATGGCAACACTTCACATGCTTTCCCCATTAGCGTGTGGAAAGTCATAGAGGAAGGAAGTACGTTAGTTTCTCTCTTGATTTTCATATAGATTAAAATCTTTAAACTTGAAACACTTTATGAAACTGAAAACTGCATTAAACATAGTTCTAAAGAAAAGTATCATGGAAATTTTAAAAAATATTTTGATTAAATAAAAAGGAAAAATATTAAGAAAAGGGAAAATATCGTAGTACATTCCTATACAACTGAAAAGAGGAGGAGAGGGAAGGGAGAAGGGCTAAAGGCATGAAACCGGTCTCTCCCCAGATGGCGTATTCGAGTGTTGCGATCGCGAATGTTGTTGAATTGACCAGTATTTTCTCATTATATCCGATTCCCGTATCCGAATCGAGCCAATGCGAATACTTTCTCTTAAGGGTCATTCTCTCGTGGTACCATTTGTTTCGCATTGGTGAAATATTTTTTTGCTGCGTAAAGCTCTCCAATCTAGTTCTCAAGTAGTTAGGAAACATTTGTTCGTGCGTAAAAAGTAAGAGCTGCATGAGAATGGCCTTTTATGAATTACTCTTTCTGTATGCTATTGGCTATCGAAATGGGTTATAGGTGGCGTAGAGCATAACTCTCTACCTATGGCAACACTTCGCATGTTTTCACCATTAGCGTGTGGAAAGTCATTAGAAGAAGTAAGTACGTTAGTTTCTATCTTGATTTTCAACTAGATTAAAATATTTTAAGTTAGGAAACTATATAGAACTGAAAACTAAATTAAACATAGTTCTAAAAGAAAGCGTCATGGAAATTTTAAAAAATATTTTTAACAATTAAATACGAAATATATTAAGAAAAGGAAAAATATCCTAGTACATTCCTATAAAACTGAATAGAGGAGGAGAGGGAAGGGTCAAAGGCATGGAACTGGTCTTCTTCCCACATGGCGCATATGAGCGTTGCGATTGCGAATTCGTATGACGATTCTCGATGGTGTGTCAATTTAATTCTCGCATGCGCGAGTATGTAGTTCACGCATATAGTTTTTAGAAATTCGCACGCGTGTCTAGGACTTTCGCATGCATTGTGAATGTTACCTAACATGTAGAACAGAAGATTAATAAGCGGTTATTCTCTCTGCATAGGTCTTGCTTATTCGATCAAACGTGAATGCAATTCACATATTCGATCCATAGGTATATTTCCTAAGACCCTCGTTCAAATGTTCAGATACTGCATGCAAGACGAACTGATGCACCAGTCACATTGTTGTAAGATCGCATAAGCAAATAAGGATGCCCCATCACATTTTAGTTTCTAAACATTTCGCTATTCTTGCTGAGTGTCATTATTTGAGTGCGAAAAAAATCATATTCAATTAAAATGACTGTTTAACGGTTCTGTAGAACTTTAGAACACACCAAACACGCATGTATTTGTTTATATTCACGATCAATAGCAAAACAAAATCCGATGGGCAACTCACGCGCACCCGAAAAATACACTTCGGACTCACTATCCGTTCAGAGTTAACAATGAATGCGTGTGTGAAAAGAGAACTTATCATATTTATTTGAAAACGGTTGCTGAGTTCTAAAAATAGAATGATTCAAGCATTTGCAATTACAACGAAACAAAAACTTCCTCAACTGTGTTCTTTTATCTTTAATTAGAACTGAAAAATAATTTCACTTCACGGTGTTATACAACTTCAATGAAATTTAAATAAGGTTTTTAAATAATTTTTCCAATCAGCAGAGCATTAGTTGGATATGTGTGTTCATTTATGCAATAAAAAAATGGGTAAGCTCTCCACTATATTCATATGCAGAAAAATGACGACTAAATGTTCCTTGAGCAGTCATTTTTATGAATTTTTTATTTTCCAAACTGTCGATTGTTTTTTTGTCACATTATACAATAGCTGCACAAAAAATATTTGAAAACACTCATCGAAAGAAATGAATCTGGCCGGTGACGTTGATGATGAGGAGAGTATTTTTCATGGTTTGGCCTAAGTTCCTTATGCAGCACTCTCGCAAAGTGCGATTCGTATTTGCTATCGCATGTCAATATAGTTTAAAAACATTTTCTGACGAGTCTTGGACAATCTCACTGTTAATGCTCCCATAGATTATATGGTTGGAAACATGAGGCTTAGATTTATCTGCACATTCTGGCCAATGCTTCCCCTTCAACTCTATGGCAACATTTTCTCTTCCAGCAGTGTAATTGCTCCATTCACACATCTAGATTTCAGCACCCAGCATTTATCGAAATGGATGTTCAAAAATGTGGATAGGCTTTCTCAGAGCCCCGCAATCAGAACCTCATAGAACAAATTTGGAGGCGAATTAGATTATGTGGCCAACAAAATTGAGCATCCTCACTGCCAGTTGTGATGGGCGCCCAGAAGCCTTTTTTAAAAACTCCCTTTCAAAAGTTAACCTAATCGAGTGCAGGCTATCATTGATGCAAAAGGAGGATCAATACTTTAATCAATATTTGCGAATACTTTTAGTGTATAAGCTTATCAGCAAAATGATTTGTGGGTGAAACAACCGACCCTATTTTTTGCAATAAACATTTAGTTAGTCGCTTATTGAAGTCAGGGACTTTCTTACGCGTAATAACAGATTTGTCTCACTCAGTTCTAGTTAAGTCTTCATACTGAATTCAAAATATATTTGTCTACTGAGCTGAGTTTAAACTTTAAGATTATGGAATGGAACTCCTAAATACCTGAAAATTGAAATAATTATGGATTCTTGAAAATAGTAATGTTGTTTGATGTTATTTTATATGTGGTCATTTTCCTTTGAACTATCTTTACATAAATTAATTAGGTTTCGGTTTGAATAGTTCGGCCATGCTTTTAGAAAGTTTCTGTTATTAAAGGTTGTAATAAGTATGATTTAAAAGTAGCTCTTATAACAAATACTGCGGCTGTTTGTAAACTTGGGAACGATTTTAAAAACAAATGTAAAGTGTCAGAAGCATTTTAATTTAGCGCAATGTATTCAGCTGAAAACATAGAGAAAACATCAGCAAGTGACAAAACGACCAATTCTTCTATCATACTAACCCATAATTCAAAAAATAATCCATTATGTAGGATTTGTTTCAGCAGTGCAAGTAGGGAACAACTTTTGAAACCTTGCAAATGTAAAGGTATGAAATTAAATTACCAAATTTAGCTTAGCACATAAAGTACTATTGTTGTTACAGATTTGTAAACAAGGAACAAACTTTAATGTGGCCCAAATTAGAGTTCGTGGTAAAAATTTACAATTGGGTACCTCTCATATTTTTTTAAAACGAAGATCAAAGACAAAAAACAATAGTGTTTTTTTAATTTTTTAAATTTTTTTTTAAAACAACTAGAACATATTAAAACATTTAATATTGATGCTAATTTATGAAACAAAATTGCAATTCAATAGTTTAAAATCGGATCGGGGTGCCTTTTATATGTGGTGATTTGAAGATAAGTTCTTTTAGCATCACATTATATAAATATTTAAATACATTGCACAGAAAGTTATAAAAACCCTCTTTCCAAGATCAATCGCCTCTTCTCCATCTATCCAATAGCATGTAATGTTCTCATTTTTGGGCCTCCGACCCTCACTTTAATAAAGTTCTATTATTTCTCTATGTTCTTGTGACGTTTTTAATAATCACCGGCCACACTACGAATTTACAATGTTAATGCCTTCAAAGCATAACTAATATAGTATATGAAAATAGAAACCAAGAATCAATCACATAACGGTAAACAAAAGTTGAGGTAACCTCGAGGTGACCTTTGAAAGCAAATACGACAAAAAATTTCAGGGTAACCAGAAACGGGGTTTTAACAAACCTGAACGAAGATTAGCTCCAAAACCAAAGGACCCCACCCTGATTCTACACCTTAATCGATTTCAATTTTGTTTTAGAATGTTTGTTTTCTTATAGAAACAACGCGGATTTCAGCAAAATTGGACGAGATTCATCGCCAACCCGAGTAGCACCCAATTATGTTCTAACCCAGTAAGATATAAGGACATTAGATGAAACTAACGTGATGAAAGTTTCTGTTTATGAAGCCAATGATAAAATACCAGTTCGTGGTTAAATTGTGGTACCTGAATGTGGTTAAATTTCAATGCGAATTTGCGAGTCTAGTCTGTGTAGTAGAGTATTTTAAGTTTTTGACTGCGCATTTAGTGGAATTTTCTTCAGAAAAACACACAGGACAACACTATCTCTCGGTCATAGTTTTTAGGCACAAATTTTTGCTCGAAAATAACTCCCAGATGCTTTGACTTAAGAAAGAAGACAATGAAAGTAAAACTTGTTTTGTCTACTTTGGAAAGCATTTCGATCGGTTTATTCCATATTTGTAGCTTCAGTCTGAATCGTACTAATTTGTTCAATCTAAAATAGGTGTTTCCAAACGTTGAAAACCTCCAAGACTTCCATTTCAAATCAATCTATCCATGCTTGTTTTTCTAATCTAAAAATCTGCCTTTTATTTAGCCAAATGACTTTTAGATGGTATTATCCAAAACTTATTTTTGACTTTCAAAATATACAGCACAGCAGAAGCCCGAAGAGTGTAACTACACCTGAAGAAAGTTTTGTCTCTTTTAATGTTAATTTTTCTTTATGCGCTTATTATGCTATAATTAAATCATAAGAAAATCTACAAAACTTAGCATTTATTTATTTATTAGTACACATACATGCAGGCCTGTGTGCCCAATTACATAATTATGGCTTGTAAGCTTTTGTCAAGTAGTAGGTTAGACAGTACAATTCAGAGAAGGACAGCACGGATAAGATGCAGCCAGGGTTATGGCAGGATTCGAGCTCGCTATCTCCACGTTACAAAGCATTTGTCAGGTGAAACCAGTCAGCCAGGGAGGTCTTGTAACTTTGAAACTGGAGTTTTATCTGAGAGTTCTTAAATAAGAAGAGTGATGACAACAGAGTGAAAAATTTCGGACAAAATATGGTTACTGCTGGACATTTTAGCTGCTTTTTTAGTATTTTATTCCATTTTTGTTCCAATTTCATTTTATGCACGTTTTTATTCACAGTAAATTTATTTCAAAACATAATCATAAATCGTCAGATATTATAAAAATCTGTATATATATATATATATATATATATATATATATATCCAAGTNTTATTTTTTTTTTAATATATATATATATATATATATTTGGGTCCCGAGTATTATGCTATTGTGTTCATGTCAATCATGTGAAAAGTTATAATTTATTTTAAATATGAAATGAAATATTTATCATTAAACATTTTTATTAATTTGCTAGGAACGATAAAATATGTTCATCGAAATTGTTTGGAAGGATGGCTTGAAACAAAAAAGTGTGACACGTGTGAGCTTTGTCTGTATCGTTTTAACACTCAAAGAATACCGAAGGTAACTACAGCTATATCAATATACACGATTCGAAAAAAAAAGTGCTTTAGAGAATTAATAAATAAACTCTAAAAATATCCTTTTTTTTGTGTAAAAATGCACCTTATAAAAAGCTCATATTTTTACTCGAAGATATGAGCTCCAAACTTATTGAAAAGGCGAATAAGAAATTTTAATTCAACTTCATTTTAATCAGAAAAAACATGTGATTTACGATATGCTGTGTGAAGCGTGTAATCGTATCTATAATATAGAAAAGAAATACAGGGTAATTAAGAATGAAATTTGAGCCTGCCAAGCATTGAATTATGTGGGTAATGGCGATCGCAACACTCGAATACGCCATCTGGAGAGATACAGGTTTCATGCCCTTAGCCCTTCCCTCTCCTCCTCTTTTCATTTGTATAGGAATGTATTACGATATTCTGCCTTTTCTTAATATTTTTCCTTTTTATTTAATAAAAATATTTTTTAAAATTCCCGTGATACTTTTCTTTAGAACTATGTTTAATGTAGTTTTCAGTTCCATATAGTTTTCCAACTTAAAAGATTTTAATCTATACGAAAATCAAGAGAGAAACTAAAGTACTTCCTTCCTCTATGACATTCCACACGCTAATGGGGAAAGCATGTGAAGTGTTGCCATAGGTAGAGAGTTTTGCTCTACGCCACCTGCAGCCCATTTCGATCGCCAATATGAATGGTGTTTTCCAGACTAGGGAGTCCTGCAAGACCTTTACCGCCCGTATTTCCGGGTAACTATATCCGGTGTGTTTTGAGGCCATTCAATTCAGTTGTGCACTGCGCCACCTGAAGCCCATTTCGATCGCCAATAATGAAAGCTCAAGTTCTGTGCTTCTAAAAATGCAATTAATTTATTGAATATTTTTCAAAAGTTTCACAACTTTTGAATAATGTATCCACTTATTCACTATTATTTTTCTAAAATAAAGTAGCGTAGTAATTTAGCAAAAAAAATAATTGAAAAGTTTATTGGTTTAAGGTTCCAAGAGATATTTTAATGATTTCGAATGGATTAGCTTGAAAGTAATTTAAATACCTAACGTAAATAAGTATCTAAAGTAAATAAATACCTAACATTCGTTCAAGTTGTAAGCTTCAGGTCTTTCGCCTTCTCATTTTTTTAAAACGATTCCAAAAACAGGTTTTTTTTAAGACTTTATATTTCTATATGCTCTTGAAACATTCGTCCACTCTGAAAACACTTTAAAACTGCTACACATCTCCTGATATTTTTGAACTTTAAGGTCGTGGCAAAATAAATTTCTCTATAATTAAAAAAAGCAAGAATAGGAAAGTTTCTCGAGAAATTCAATATTTTAAAAGAAGTGTTACTTAGGACTAAAGCGTTCTACTATTATGGAGGGCAGCACACTGAGGAAGCGGGAGAGGGGAGAGGCATATGAGAGGCGTATACACAACGCGATTGGGGCGGAGCCCCTTAACTGTTTTGTTCAGAATATTTGTTTGTCTCATTATTGTTGTTGTTGTTGTTAATTTACGAGACTCTATAGGGCTGCACAATGGGCTATTGGCGACGGTCTTGGAAACATCCCGGAGGATGATCCGAAGACATGCCATCACAATTTTGATCCTCTGCAGAGGGGGTGGCGCCTCCGCTTCGGTAGCCCGACAACCTGCACGCGAAGTCGAGCACTTTACGGTAGCACAGTTTATTGAGGACCAATGCCGCACACCCTCGGTTCCTACGCAGACTGATCCAAGTGGTCACCAACCCGCACACTGACCGTAGCCAGTGATGTTTGACTTCTGTGATCTGCTGGGAACCGAGTCTTAACGATCAGTCCACTGCGGGACGTCTCATTATTGACCTCATAAGTAAGGTGATCTACGTAGCAAGGAAAAAGGTTTAACTGGTTCTTTTACATAACAAGTTATGCTTTATGCATTTATGAGATGGGAAAACCTCTTTGAATGCTTCAAAACTGGTTTTTGTTTATGTTCAGAACAAAAAAGAAGGCTATTATGCAGAAAATATTTATGTTTTTGCTTTAAGCTCGGTTAACAGTTAAATTAGCGACGTCACAAAACCAACATTTGACTAGTTCATTCCTATGGATGGTGTTTTCTACCCTAGGGTGCGCTGCAAGCTCTTTACTGCCTATACTTCCAGTGTATTTTGGAAATGTATTTGAACGTGTATTTTGAAGCCATTTGACTCATAACGTGATCATTTAATTTTGAGACACTCTTGAGTAGAATTTCTTGTATACGTGTATTTGTTACTGATTTATTATTTGTGTTCAAAAAAAGAATCATCATTTGAAGATCTGTCATTTCAAGACGTTAGAATCATCATTTGAAAAAAAAAAAATCCCAGCAAAACACTTTTTACCTTGTCAACAATATACCAACTTCGAAATTTAAACCTAAAATGAAATCAATCTCGCTGCTCGAAGAATATGCTAACACTAACGAAGTGTGATGTACAGCTCGCAACAAGAACAAACAGCAATAAATAAGTAAAAAGAGGCCAAATCAGGATTGCCAAAAAGCGAGTTCTTTCTAAATCTAGCAACCATGTCACCTTTTTTAGCAAGACATCTATAAATAAATAAACGAATTTTCACTTCAAATTCACCAGAATTACTCAATTTTATTTATATTTTATGAAATTCAGCAGATTTGAGCTCAAAAATTACATAGCTTATTTCTTTTACTGAAAAACAAATTATCTGTTTGAAAATTTTGCTTCGCAGAATAAGCTGTATACTTCCTAACCTGAAGTAGAGCAGGTCAAGAGCTCGAGATTGATGTTGTTTATATATTGAAAACACCATCCATATGTTTTCATTAGCATGCGTATAGTTTGTCTAAAGTAAGAACTCCCCAAGCCATTCGTCTGGACCCGTGGCGGGAACTATGGTAACGAGGTATAGTTAATTCAAGTAGGGGTGTGTGGCCATTGTTTAGGGCAGATGTTTGCTCGGATCGGTTAGAGAAAGGGAATTTTTTCTTCTGTCTACTGTGTTAGCCCTAGACTGAAGAGAAGCTACCCTCCCTGAAATGCGCTATTCTTGTTTCCATATCAGTAGGCGGGTCTCAGACTTCGTGATGGGGGAGTTCTTACCGTAGATAAACTATACACCACCTTTGGATTAATAGATAATTCACACTGCACGCAATGTACATACCTCCAACCATTCTCGAGTCAATGGCCCTTAATGCGAACGTATGGGAATTTACCTACCGTGTGCCTTTTGCTTCCCATTCGTTTTCTAGGTGTGTGGCTCACCTAAGGTTTTTGATGTTGATGACATGATATTGAATTTGGAAGTTATTAATGGTTGTGCACTTTTCCTTTCCTAATAGAGTTTCTGGGAATTTTGCAGAGAAAAGAGTGACGACTGTATTAGCGTCCTTATGATTGGAATATTTCTTATGATCTTTATTTCCATCACACTATGGGCGTGTTACATATCTGTTTATAGAGTTCTCATATCTGAAACATCAAAATCTGCTGCTGGAAAGAAAAAATCTTCGATTGTTTGTTCTCTAATTGACTCGGTCTTCAGTCTCCTCTTCCTCTTAATACTGACAATGTGGTTCTTTTGGATGATTGGGTAAGAGTTTTTTTTCATATCAAATAATCAGTGCAATATGGATAGAGTTTTCGTCACTTGAGAGAGCAGCAGGCTCTTTACCACTAATATTTCCGAGTTACTGAATCCGTTGTATTTAGAGGATATTAGGCTCAACGTGTTCACTGTGTTTATTGTGAGCGCAGTAAATAATGACAAGAGTGGTACTGCCGTGCTATTGGAAAAACAATGTAAGTGCTTCACGATTGATTCCGAGAAAAGTGGCTTGGCAACTATTTTCCTTCTTTTGCTAATGCATTAGCAAAACTGATTTATTTTTGAAAAATTAGTATTAATTTATTTTTGAAAAAAAAATGCCGACCAGGTGGACGAGTGGTTAGCGTACTTGGCTGCGGAGCTGATGGTTGCGGGTTCGAATCCCAATTAGGGCAAAGATGTTTCTTTTTCTCTTTCTAAGTTCCATGTCCTTTCTTCTGTGTGATTGTGTGAATGTGACCCGCCCTATAAACGGGTTTGTGGTTGTGTGACGTGGGCGACGCTGCTCCACCACCGTGGCTTGGCCATAGGTGCTCACTGGGTAACGAGAAGAGAGTAGCAGTTCTGGCATTTCTGAGGCCAATGGGAAATAGACCCAAGTGCCCGCCATTAAACAAAAAATATTTAAAAGAATTTTTTTTTTTTTTGCAATATGTAGCTTACCATATGAAGATTCCAAATATATAAAAATCTCAATTTTGAATTTTTTGTCGCTTACGTTGATTTTTCAATTCACCGGTAGTGTAGTACATGTACTTATAATAATCATAAATGTTGTATGAAATAGTAAATAAGTAATTTGAGAGGAAATGAAAACTTAAAATTAATATTAGAGTGAAAATCGTTATAAAACATTTATTACCTTATTAGTAATATACTAACTTCGAAATTTACGTCTAAATGATAATTTGCTACATAAGCTTTGTCTTGCTACTCTATCTAAATACTATCACTGAAGTATATACGGTGTAAAACAAGAACAAATAGTAATAAACAAGTCAAAAGAAGCCAAATCAGGACAGCTAAAAAAGCGAGTTCATTTTAAATATAGCAACGTTATCGCCTTTTTAACCAATATAAATAACTAAAACAAATTTTCCTTTCAAACACACCAAAATTAATTAATATCATAAGACATGTAGCAGATTTAAGTTCGGAAATTGTATCATTTATTTCTTTTATTGAAAATAAAATTATCTGTATGAAAATATTGCTCGGCACAATAAGCTGTACTAAGCAGATGTAAACTGCATAACCGAAAATCTTGAAGGTAAAGAGATCGAGATTTTTTTTTTTTTTTTTTTTTTTTTTTTTTTTTTTTTTTTACCTTTGTGTTGAAAACACCATCCATAATGATAAGCCGTATTTTTAAATTGTTCTAAAAAAAGTTTTTCTGCGAAAAAACATGATTTTCAATGTAATATGATGCTTTTGTACAATATTGGGAATATTAATAAGGGATAGTCAGATGCAATATTGTCACTTTTGGAAAAAACGTGAGGTTTCAATATATTGCCTCAAGCCCAGAGATGCTTATTTTGTTATATTGTTATTAACGATATATCGAGTTCGAAAAATCATTTATGTATTATGTTAATTAGGTCATTCCTACTTCTTTGCAGAGAGGTAATGTGTCCAAAGTTTCGAAACTCAATTTTATTCAGAAATATTATTTTGACATGACAGAAAAAAAAATTCCGTTTACTATTTCGTAAACGCTAGTCAAAAGAATCAGACGCTGGTTGTCAGTCATGTAAAACTTGCACTTAAATACGTGTTTCATGTTGCTATTGTTTTCACAGAAAATGATTTGTTTATTCTCAATAAATAGATAAGATTGGACAAAGTTGGGTGAAACAAAAGAGTAAATAGCACAAATGAAAATAGCTATAGTGATATAGTTGTTTGATGTTTCGGCAAACAAACTTAACCTGTTAAATCATTACTAACATAGCATGGAGAACTTAAAAACGTTTATATTTGGCACAGTATAGTCTCCCCTGACTTTCATGAATCTGGATCATTATTAACACTCAATATAACAATGAAACAGGCATAATTCCTAGTTTCGACGTGAAACAACCTGACACATAACACAAAAGAAAAAAAATATACAACAGGGCTAATGTCAATAATAATACATAACAAGAGTAGGGCAAGCTTCTTAACTGTTTTGTTTTTAATGTAAATATTTGCCTCATAGTGGCCTCATATTGAGGTGACCTTCGAAGCCAGGAAAGAGTTTCAACGAGAATATGTAACAGGAGTTACTAGCTTTGCATTGTGATGTTTCAGGAAAGAAGAAACCTCCTCGCACGTTTCAGAATCGGTTTTTGTGTATAATCTGAACAAAGATGAGGTAAAATATTTACGTTTTGGCTTTCAGATTGGTTAACTTTTAACTTAGCTACATCAAAAAAGAAAAATGGACTAGTTATCTATTAATGTAAAGTTTTTAAAAGCAGTGCTCATAACGCACTTACGGGTGACTATTTAGCGGAAAAGGGGAAAAAATGACCTCTAGACCAAAGTTAAATTAATTGAAGGTGTAACATGTGACTGAGGGCAATTTATTTTTGCTGAAATTGACCTAAAAACACAATCTACTACTTGAATCAGACCTAGGGAATCATTCACACTGCTTGAGAGGAAAGCAGATCATGATTGGAGAATTTTTTGCCTAGGGACATAGTTCGTCAATCCTTCTCATCCTCCTTCAATGGCGATTAGAGGTGCTTACAGCAAGAATAGCTCCTTAATATGACTACCGACTACGAAGATTGGTCTTTAAAATGTTTATTTAATATGTTAGAGAAGATATTAGAAATTGTTTTGATAAATCTATTTCTTCTTCTTCTCAGTTTGTTTATCACGGAGTGGACGAAGTGGAGAAAACATAATTGGTATCTGAAAGTGGTTGACAGAGAAACTATGGCAAAAGCTTCGCTGTCAGAAGATTCTCCAGAAGATTCCAGAAGGTCTCCAGAAGATTTCTTGACTCCTGTTTCACCAACGGAAAAAGATATTACCGCGAATCCTCATTGTATAAACATTGAACAATCTCCAACAGTTTGATTATCTTATTCATGTAAACTGTCTTAAATTTTTTTTCTTAAAAAAAAAAAAAAAAAATGAAATTTTGGATATTTTAGGGATTTTAGCATCCCCGTGTTTTCTGTAGTCTATAAAGGTAATTTGGGAAAAAAATTCTTTTACAAGTTTTATTCAACTCTCTTATATAAGTTTAAATAAGCTCTTTTGCAAGTTTCCTTCAACATGAGACAATATCATTTTACTTAGAAACAGCAGGGACATGTTATTGAAAAGCAGGTGCTACAAACCAGCTCTACTACTGTTTGAAAATACTGATGCAAATATTTTTTCCCGTCATTTGAACAGCAAAGAATTGCCAATGAAACGAATAAGAAAACAGGACAGCTGACTGTTCTGGGGTATTAATTATTGAGTGTAAACAGAAGAACCATCCATTTTCATTGTTGAGAAATGTTGAGTAGATCCTGGTATTATAATTTTCCTTTTTAGTGATTAGAATTGTCAAGCCAGATTTAATTCCATAGGACTTTCGTCTTCAGTTTTATGCTAACTAACAAAAAGCCACCCACAACTTGAAGGAAGAAACTTTACGCTGCGTCAACGTAATTCAGCTATGTTTATGCAAAATGGTCACGGAAAATAGAACAAAACTGAGTTTATGCGCCAGCAAAATCAAGGAGGGTATTTAAGCGAAATGCTATTCTATACCTAAACCTATGTAGAAGAAAAGATCCTACTATGCAATAGTTTCCCAATATGTGATGCCCTTATAATAGCCGAAGGAAATAGTGATTGAACAAAAAACAATCTAAAACACATATGAAGGTTGTGATAAATACTTGAAATAGATTCCTTAGTTAAAATAACGCATTTTTAAATGAACTTAAGTGTCTGAAAGTAAAAACTTTTAGTAATTCGAATGAGGAAAATCAGTATTATGTCAAATAAAAACTTTGCGTGATTGCTTCGTCTTTTGCCAACAGAAATCTTTTAAAAACCTTTAGAATAACTTTTCCCCAACACGATAAAGCAATCAAATTTCTAAAGCTAAGCTTCATCTAAAATTGCTGAGGTCGGGCATCACTAATTTACTAAGACGGTCTCAGGTTACCTTTTCAACTGGAATAGCTGATATATTTCATTAATGGAAGTTTTACAGAAATTTAAAATTCAGGTTAATGTTTGACACTTGAAAGGATAGCATTTAAATAGGATATAAGAATGCAGGTATTATTTGTAAGCTAATCATCGTTATATATAATAAAAATAAAGTTGTCTCAAATTGTAGTCATGCATTTTTACAGACGTTTTTATTTGAATAGGTATCTAAACTTATTCATCATTTTGCAATTTGTATAATTTTTTTAATGTAAATTTCATTAATATGTTATCATAAATTACCATTAAATGTTTGAGAACTTAATGATACACTGTGAAGATGCTTGCAAAATTGTATTTAATTAATCGAATATATAATATGACGGTTGTAAACTCTCAAAATTTCTTATGACACTAAACTTTTCATTTTAAATGCTATTTTAAAAATCGATTACAATGCGAAATTATTTATGTTCAATAGTAGATCTTGATAAAATTCTAAGAGATATGTTTGGATGGGGAAAGCGTAAGTAAACGTAATTCATTTTAGTTTATATATAAGTGAATAGTTAGAACTTTTATCGATGAAACTGCTTTATGTCAATTTGCAAAAAAATAATTAATTATTAATTTAATTAATTAAAATAATTCAGTGCAAAGCCAAAAAAAATATGATTATGTAGAAGCGTAGCAATTATTAGGAGTTGGGGAGTGATAACGAGCAAGGGACGGAGCCCTCTAGTATTTAAAATTTCTACAACCATTTTAGAAAGAAACAAAAATAAGTCTGACTAAGTAAAACTAAGTTTTTATTTATAATATTCACCTTATTCTCGTCAGTGTTTCATGTTTTCCACAGTAAGGGGCAGTATTTATAGTATTTGCTATATATATATATATATATATATATATATATATATATATACATACATACATACACACACATCAGTGANTATAACAATGGGCTCGCCCAGGTTTTCATGGTTTCTCGCCCAGGAACAATGTTTTCATGGGGCACATTAGGACCCATAATCCTCATAGAACAATCCCTGACGTCTGTAAGTTACTTGAACTTAGTTGCAGACCAGGTTCACCCATTCATGGCAACAGTTTTTCCTTCGGGGGATGGTGTTTACCAACAGGATAATGCACCATGTCATAAGGGTCGAATCGTCATGGATTGGTTCGAGGAACATTCCGGTGACTTTCAAGTCATGTCTTGGCCCCCAAATTCACCTGACCTTAATCCAATAGAGCATTTGTGGTCCTACTTGGAAAACCAAATTCGTGCTGATACACTACTACCTCGCAATCAGCACCTTGTGGAATCATTGCCACGGCGGGTGCTGGCAGTTGTGAGGGCTAAAGGTGGTCCTGCACGTTATTAGCAAGGTGGTCATAATGTAATGGCTCTTCGGAAGAATTAAAATATTTAAATACAGTTGTGATGTGCATTTGGCTTGATCACTATTAAAGTTTTTATGTTGTACAAGATAATTTTGAAACAAGACCATGCTGGTTGACAAAGGCAGCTAGTACATATTAAAATATTCAATACTAGGTTTCATTATTAGAATTAACGTGAGTCATACTTAAAAATAATTTGAAAATGTAAAGGATCGGACAAAAAAAGATAAATGAGAATTCATCGTTTTTTTGCCTATTTTTGAGGTATAAATACTCTTAAAATTATTTACACATCTCAAATAAGAAAGGGTAACTGATGAGTCTGAATCGGATTCATCAGTTTTTCAAGAGGACTTTTAGCACGAATAATCAAAATTAATTAATTTCAGATTTATTTTTTAGCCTCAAATATCTAGAGCGAAAATACAAATACATGATATACTTTAAAATGGTCTGTAATTTTTTTATTATTTAAATTAATGAATATTAATATTCCAAAATTAATTTTAAAGGTAAAAAGATCGGAACAAAAATTTAAAAATCCGAATTGGATTCATCCGTTTCTATGCTGAGTTTTAAATCGTGTAATCCAAAATACTTACTCCTAAAATTATTTATAAACCTCAAATAATAAGGGGAAACTGATGAATCCTAATCTGGTTCATTAGTGATTAGGACTACCTTTAGCATGAATAATCGGAAGTAATTAGTTTTGCAATTTATTTTAGCCTCAAATAATAAAGGGTAAAAATAGTAATTTATGATAAGCATCAAAATGATCAATGATTTGTTTCATTATTTAAATTAATGAAGATTAATATTTTAAAACTTATTAAAAAAAGATCGGTACAAAAATTAATGAATCTGAATTGGTTAAATTTTTCTTTGCTGAATTTTAACTTGTATAATCAGAAGTAATTTATAAATGTCAAATAATAACAAAGAGTAAAAATATAAGTACGTAATATACATTAAAATAATGCACTGGTTTGTTTTATTGATTGGATTAATAAAGATTGATATTTTGAAACTAATTTGAAAAAGTAAGAAATCTGACTAAAATATGATTTATACAAATCAGATTCATCTGCTTTTGTGCCAAATTTTGACACTACAAATAGAAGTAATTTCTTTTACAGAAGTAATTTATAAATCTTAAATTATGAAGTATAAAAATACATGATGATAGGTTTTGTCCACTGCTTGTTGTTCAACGTCTCTAATTATTTTCGAATGAAATTTTGTTTTTTAAACGATAAATATTATGAATGAAAAATAAAAATATTCAATTAAAGCATCCATAAATGTTTCATTTAATTAACATATATTTGGTTCTCAATTTCATTGGGATAGAATAATAGGGATAGAATTTGTTCGATTATCATTCATGTTTCATATAAAATGTTAAAGAGCCCTTTATGGCTAAAATGTTAAGGAACCCTTCACATGATTCTTCCAGTATCATTATCTTTTTATGTTACATAGAGATTTATAAAATGTTTAGTGATTGGTTTTATAATCAATAACAATTATTTTAAAATTAATATGAAAATGTAAAGTATCGGAACAAAATCTGATTCGCCTTTTTAAATGAACTTAAATAAATGTCTGAAACTAAAAACTTTTAATTCATTGAAAGAGAAAAGTAGGAAGTTTTATGTCAAATCAAAACTTTGCGTGATTGCTTCGTCTCCTGCCGACTGAAATCTTCCACCATAAGTTAGAAACCTTTAGAATAACTTTCCCCCCAAACATGATAAAGCAATCAGATTTCTAAAGCTAAGCTGCATCTAAAATTGCTGAGGTCGGGCTTCACTAAATTATTAAGACTCTCTCAAGTCACTCTTTCAGATGGAATAGCAAAGATATTTCATTAAAGGAAGTTATACAGAGATTTAAAACTCAGGTGAATGTTTGACACTTGAAAGGATAGCATTTAAATAGGATATAAGAATGTAGGTATTTATTTGTAAACTAACTTATATACACTTATACACTGTCAGAAACTTCTGGAAAAAAGGTTAAATAACAGTTTGTTTAATTGTTATTTTACCATATTCAAACAAAACAGTCAGATAACAATAAGTAAGATGGTATTCAAACTGTTAACTGTGAGAAAAACCGTAGTTTGACGATTTTTTAATTTCTCTTAAGAAATTAATAACATTTCTTCATTAATTTTGCTTTAAAATACATAGCTTACTAATCTACTTCAATTAGTAACTATTACAAAAATTAATTATCATTGGCGTCCAAAAATAATATTGGTGTTTATATTTATTCTCAATGAATTATTTCCATTCTTCCATTAATTTTGCTTTTCATTGCAAAGTATTTTTTTTATTTCAGTTACTGTTGATTTTAAATTATTTAGTTTTATATCAACATGTTTTAAAATCATAATTGGGCAATTGCACTTCAAGATGAAGAAGATCACAGATACCCACCCATGAGATCTATGACGTCAGCACCAGCTGATCGTTTATAAGCAAAATAGTGTGTATGAGCAAAGTTTTTCCACACATATTAGAATGTTAATTAATGTAAAGTTAATTAAATACAGTGCCATATCGAATATCGAATTTGTTGAAATATAATTTTTTTAATGGTCTACGTCTTTTACTTATCTTAGATTTATTTTTTGTTTA